TTTTCTGAGTTTATGGGAACATGAAATCCAAATCACAATGTAGCATGTGACAGTGGGGGGTGGCTTTGTTTCAAACAGTTCTGGCCTCGGTTCTGATCTCTGTAACTAACTACATGCCAAGGCAAGAGCAACTGAGTGAATGAGAGGTGAATGAAACACCCTGGGGATTTCCTCTTATTCTTGTTTCTCCATTTTCTCCAGGTGTCTCTGAACATCTTTTCTCCATGGCTTAAGTGTGTGGGGTTATTTCTAGATAAGGACCCTGAATGGGAAGTAGCAAGCTTTGGATAAATTAAATGAGTGGGATAATAGGAAAATTACTCTCTTTGGGTTTGGGATGTTCTTTTACTAGCAGGATGTAATCTATTCTGGGAGGACACTTCCAAAGCCCCCCAGGGAAGTGCTCCCCTAGGAAGGGGCCAGCAGTGTTTGTCCATTTAGCTACCTGGCCCCTCTGCCCTTCCCCCTCTCTACACAGGGAGAGGTTAGCACTATATCTCTTGGGCTGTTGGGCATTTTCACTTTCTCAGGCTTTCCCTAGAGGAAAAGGTGAAAATTGCATTTCGAAGGATTCATTCACTCCAAAAAAGAAAAAGAGAGAGAGAGAGAAAGAAAACCTGCTTCTAGCAGAGAAATGTCTTTTTCTGATTCTGAAGGTCACCTATGAATGCCTCTCTCAAACCACTCATCACACTTTGTCAATATTATGTTTACAGGTATAGCTCCCCAAAGTAACTGAGTTCTTCCAGGATGGGGACCTTGCCTCTGTATCTCTACATGCCCAAAGCACACTACTTGGCACCTACTAGTCCTCCAATAAATGTTAACTAAAAAAAGTTGACAAAATAAGCTCTTAGGAAAGGTAGGTGTTGCCCATAAATTAGAAAGTGAGATGCATTCTCTTAGCTGAACATTGATGTGCTCTGAAGGATAGAGTTCTGTGCACAGGAGCCTAATTTCAAACACACGGCACCCCACTCCCAAATCAAGTGTGCAGATGTAGACATCCCTGGTCTATATGAGGTAGTGGGACAGGGTTAACAGCTGAGTCTGTCCCTTCAAGCCCTAACTTTTTCAGAATTCTGTGATATTCCTAACATATAATAGATACTTAATAAATATCTGCTCAATAAGTGAATTAAAGGTATGTTAAATGAAGTCATTTTTCTGCATTTATTTATTTGGTTAATACTTATAGAGTTCCAACTGTGCCTAAACCAATGTTTATACAAAGTGGTGTTTACTTTGTCTTTCAGAAGCTCAAATCTTGGAGGGGGGATAAGGTGACTTTNCTGAGGGTTGCGATCCGTTGCTGGACACGGAAAAAGACAAAAGACAAAAAAAAAAAAAAGCCATGAGACTGGGTGAGATCGCCATGGGGGATGGAAAGGTGGATATGGAGCACTGGTCCTGGTGCACTCTCATTTGGAGGTCAGGAAGATGAGGAGGAACGAGCAAGGGAGGCAAGAAAGGGCGATCTGCATGGTAGCAAAACCCAGAGAGCAATGTTCTTACAGGCTTACTGAAGAAAACGTTTCCAGAAGGAGGGGATGGGCAAGGGCGTCCATGTTCCCCATTAGTACAGATAGAGGGTTAGCCACTGGCTTTGAAAATATGAAGGTCATGTGAGATCTTGACAAAAGCCGTTTAGGTGGAGTGGTAGGAATGAAAGCTTCGTCAGTGACGGTTCAGAGACAAATAAGAGGAGCAAAGTGGAGACAGTGATATAGGCAGCTGTTTTGAGTTTTATCATAAAAGGAAGCTGAGAAATGGGGCAGAAGGATGTGGGGTCAAGAGAGGGTAGAGAGGGTTGGTTTTGTTGTCGTTGTGCAGCTGGCCGGAACAGGAATTGAACCCTGGACTTTGGTGTTATCAGCACCACACTCTAACCAATTGAGCTATTATATATAAAATAGCATAATAAAAGAGCAATTCATGGGCCATCTGGGAGATTATGCTACTGCTTATTTTATTTGGAATATTGCTGGATTCTTTACATGCAAGACCCACAGCTGGCTCCAAGCTATGGGTGTAGAACTTCTTCCACTAGGGTATATGACATCTTCTGATTTGCGTATGACACATGAACCCTACAGGAAAGAATTCAACCCCTTTCTATAACTTGGGTTTAAACATATTAAAGATATATTGGATGGGTGGTGGGGTGGTCATGACAGAAGCCAGATTACAGAGAGGGACAAGATTCTGAAAGAAAATCACCTTAAATCCAGAAGTTGGTGGGCTGACTGGTTAGCTCAGTTGGTTAGAGCGTGGTGTTGTAACACCAAGGTCAAGGGTTCAGATCCCCATACTGGCCAGCTGCCAAAAAGAAAAAAGCTGTTGGGCATGATGGGCTGGAGTCATCATAGGCCTGTGGTGGGAAGTGGGTACTGGTTCTGCATAAAACAGTTGGATAAACTTGAACCCAACAGGCCCCCTGGAGAATATCTGTGTGTCTAACAGGGAAAGAGCTGTGTAGTTCAAAACAAACAAATCAACCAACCCAGAGTAATTGTTCTGCTAAGGTCCCAAGCCTCTGTGCTGCTGAATCTTCTCTCTGTGGAATGAAAATGGTAGAATTGTTGGGAAAGGAAGGAAAGAATTCCAACCAGCAGTGGCAGAAAGAATAGGTGCTCCTAGAGGAGTTGGAGGACAGGACAGTGCTACCATGGGTGCGTGGAAGACTTCCATCTGTGCCTATGGTACGGGGGCATTAGAATAGCTCAGACTGCAATCATTCAAGGGCGAAAAG